GCCTGAGCCCAGGGGAGCGCCGCCGAGGGAGCCCCGGAGGCCAGCCTTCCTGGGGGAGGAGGCGCGGCTCCAGCCAGGCAGGCGCACTTGGCCTGGGGACGGGGGCGGAGCCGGCCGCCAGCGCGGATACCTGGCCAGTTGGACCCGCCCTCGGGGAGGTAGGGAAGGCGCGGTCCGCCCGGGGGCGCGCACCCTCTGGAGTCATCTAGGATACCTCCTGCTAGGGAGGCGCCCAACTTTAGTTGTCTTGCTCGGCCTCTGCCCAGCCCTCGGAAAGGATGTGATTTCCGTTTGATTGCGGAGGGGCCGCCCTCCGGGCAGGTGCACCCTGAAGAGTCACCTCTCTTCCTGGGCTGAGGTTTGCCTCTGGGATTCCCGAGTGAGTAGTTTATCTGGTTAGTCAGGCTCTGTCAGACTGCTCGAAACATTTCGTGATTTTCCTGAACCTGAGGGTGAAAAGGGGCTATTTGGTCAGGCGGAAAAGGCAGTAAGAGGGAAATGTGCCAAGAAGATGACATATGTGCAATAAAATACGGTAGGATTTTTCTTTTTTTCTTTTCTTGGTACAACTTCAGGGACTGTGTATTTTGCACAGATGTAGTCTCAGAAACATATGTTCTTCCTCATTGAGAGCTTCTGTTTTCTCTTACAAATACACTTTGTACCCAGTACACTCTATGCTCACCGGCTCCTCTTCTTACAAACACACCCACACAGAGAAACTCCGATAAGAGGCGCAAGGGAAGAGCACTGTTAATAGGTGATACTTTTTAATCGCCCTGCTAACGTTGACTAAGTCCTCTTTATGACAAGCTCTGTAGGGGGCCTACAGAAGAGGCTCCTGACTTTCAATCGCATCTTCCACAACTTACGTTTATCGTGCTGTCAATCACGTTTCACTCGTTGTTGACTACTGAGAACTTGAGAGCTACGCTCAACAGAAAGGATCCTTGACCTTAAAGATTACGACCTAAACCACTTGTCCTGATTGTCCTCTTTGACTTGAGAGGCAGAAAGCAACACATCTGTCCCTGGTATGAAGGAAGGTAATCTTCCTTTTGATTGCTTTGGTGTGTGGATGTTCACTTCCCTTCAAATCACTCAATTACTGCACAACCCCACTTCTTCAGGTCTGGAGTGGCTGGAGAGCACAGCTTCCTGCTTCTCCATTTGTCTAGGCATACCCTTCTATTTTGATGTGCACACTTAATGCACAGGTCCATGAGCTTCCGGGGCGCAAATCAAGAGACCCCAAGCCTGGACAAGGAAGTGGTGATAGTTCTGCCACCCTTTCTCAGCCAGCCACATGGCCGAGCCCATATGGAATATAGTGCTTAAGTGAAGTCATGTGGATGGTCAGTCTTGGAAGCAATTCCTCCCAGTCCAGCAGGACCAGTCTTGAGGTAGATCATACCTTGTGAAGAGCTCGATTAGGTTGCCAGGTGAAAACATCCAACCCTGATGCTGAGATTCGATTGAAAAGAGAGGGTTGAACAGAAGGGAAAGTGATGATAGAGACTTCCAACAACAAACTTTGTTCCTGTCCCCTCCTTCCTCTCCCCCTCTCCTCTTTGGGCACACCTGAGAGTGCTGCTTTGAAAGATGATTTCAGTACCTGCCCCCACTGGGTCAGCTAGGGCATCCTGTGATTTCTTGGTGCTTGGAGAGCCATAACTTACAAAGTCCGCTCTGCCTCCGTCTGGATCCCTCAGTGGGGCAGTGAAGAGGCATTTTTCTCATTTGTTTTTTGGATTGAGCCAAACTTCATTTACTTTTTTACTCTCAAATTGATTTTTTTCCCCTTTAAGCATGATGTTTTCATTGATTATCNGTAATGTTTGTTGTGATCAGTTAACACAGCTCACAAAATCAACCCTAAGAAACAACTCAATGGATGGAATGTACCGCTGGGAAGTACTGGCTATGATTCCTACACAGTTGAATATGCCGGGGGTAGGTATTGGTGGTACAGTGGTGAGTATAGCTGCCTTCCAATAAAGTTGAATATTCCTGGGACAGACCACCTCCCTGTGAGAATGGGCCACATGCTCCAGGTGCCACTGTGTGACTAGTCAACGGATATACCCACAAGCCACCAGAAGTCCTTATTTCTCAGGAGCTCCCTACGCAGTTTGAGGTGATTATCGTCTGATACATCAGTTTATGGCATTTGGGGGGCAATCTTTGAATTACTGCTCTAGATAACCACACAAATACATATTTAAAAGGCCCTTTCATATTGCTGGTGTCTATATCAGATATTTTGAGTAGGCAGAGTGTGTGATTACAGAATTTGTGATTATAAACCAGTAACGCAGCACACTGGCGAAGTACTAAATTGACACATGCTGGAAGTTTCTAAATCTCTTAAATTCCTGTAATTTGTCTCCTTTGGCACGCCTCCCAATTCACTTGCTCACATATTCCATAATGATTACTTTAGAACTTCAATGACTAATATCACATTATAACCGAAATGATGCAACTCACAAAGAGATCAAATGGAACTCACAAATTTAAATTTTTTTTTTCCTTAAAAAAAACTCACTACAGGTTTTTGTAATGGGTCTCAAGTCATATTTTCACAGCCTCACTTGCCAGGGCTAACCGCTTCCCTCCCAACTGATTCATAACTGCTGTCTCTTCTCCTTTAAATCCACCAAATCTGCCAAATGTAGTTTCAGAAAAAAACCTGCCTTTTTCATGTTTCTCCCTGCTGAAACATACTCTGTGACTCACAATTATCAAATCTTTAACTTGCACTTAAGATCTCCCTCTACAATATAAGGTGTGTGTGTTGTGGGGCCGGGGGGTTGGGGTGAGGAAGGCTGCCTATTTGAGGGCACAACTGAACAGAGTTTTGAGGAACTTGTAAGAGTTAACCAGGTCAACAGAAGGGAGGGAGACAGGCAGGCGGTAGGAGTAAGAACACCAAACAAGATAAATCACACATGTTTGGTGGGACGTAGGAGCAGTGGTGATAGGATGAAGTCTGAGAAGTTGCAGGCATTCGATCACAAAGAACTTGGAATGCCATGTTGAATGAGGATTTTATTCCTGTAGATAACAGCAAGAAACCAAAGGAATTTAAATTGGAAAATGATTTGGTGAGACTTTAGAAAGTTTATTCTAGGAGCTATGGGGAAAATGGATTGGAGCAAGGCCAGATTCAAGCAGGAAGACGCTGTCTTGTCTTCCAGGTAAAATTTTACCTGCTTGACATAAAGAATCACATCCTTTACCACCACGTCTAGCACAGTCATGCATCAGCACTTGACAAGTTAATTGTTGATTAGTCATACTTCCTTGTATATTCAAAATATCCTAGTTATACAAATTCAGTCTGCACTTAATCCTTCAGGCCGCCATCTATCCTGTGGTCGCCACAGTGGAGCCAAAATGTGAGGGTGGCAGTTGCATGTGTGCTTTTGTCTTGGGAGTAAATGGAAGATACTCAAATACAGAGGGTGCTACACAAAATGTATACACACTTTAAGAAAGGGAAAAACTATTAAAATTATGTTCATGGTAACCACTTTGAGCACCTCTTATAATTGCAGAAGTCAAATGTGACTTGTATTCATCTTTTGTTATCGGCATATAATGAGTATTACAGTTTCATAGTTTTTTTCCTTTCTTAAAGTGTACATCCAGTTTTTGGGCACCCTCTGTATTTTCTACTGCTTCTCTGTCATTCTGGGAATACAGAGAAGAAGAAAAATTCCTCTCCCCCAAACATTGGTAGACTTTCTTTCTGAGTGATTAGAAAAGCAGACTTATGTTCATTTTGCAAGGTCGATTCTACATCCGGATAATATACATTTACCGTCATTCTCTTTTCTGTATGGCTTGTGTATTTATATGTAATATTTTGGTGGCCTATACTAAGTTCTGATTATCTGTGAAGAAAAGTTCCCACTTTCCTTCTTCAAAGAAAAAAGGTAATCACGGTACAATCATCCTGATGTGATCCTTCCTAACCCCATTCCACGTATGTATTGGTGAGATTTAAGATTTAGTGGAAATAATTTATTAAGCTTCTAATAAACAACATTGTTTTTAGAAATCAAGGAATTGCAGAAATTTGGTTAGGGCACTTTGGCCAACTAATAATAGTAAGCCTAAAGCTCATTATTTCAAGGATATAAATATGTGGATTCTTTCAATGGTAATGACGATTGTGTTTTCTTTTTTCAAAACATGCATTTTCATCGAAGTCTACATATTGGGCCCCCTAGCTTATCTTTAAGCACTTAAAAACATAACAACTGTTTTTATGTCCAATATCCAATCACCATTAGCGGCATTACACAAAGATACACAATAGATTCCTTAATATTTCTATTGTAAGAAAACCTGAAATTCTGTTACGATTCTTACCCTAATAAGTCAGGGGAGTAAGAAGGCTCCCTCTAATACAAAGATTACATTTTCTCCGAATTTTGTCTATTCCTACTTGCAACACTGCCTTTTGCTGTTTATTTCCCCAGGAGAAGTATAGTGTTATGTCCTCATGCACAAAGTAGCTGGAAAAACATTTATCTCAGAATTATATAATTTAAAATTCCTGAATGTCACCTGAGACGGAACCAAATGATCTTANAGGTGAGTTAGTAGCTCTGTTCAAAGAAATTTTGAACTGGATGGAGTTTTTCCATAAAAGATAAATATTAATCAGGATGGAAACAACTCTTTAAAGCAAGTCATTACTTTCTGTTCAGAGAATAAAATATTATATACATATGTGACTACTGAACATATAAAATAATTCAGCCATGAATTATTCTTCTCCAAAAGTAGAAATAAGAGAGGAAACAAAAACATATACATACGTCCTGCTTTAAATAAATCCAACATGAAAATCAACATTTTCTAACATGGAAAATGAGGGTGTGGTTCTAATTCAAAGAATTTGTTTACTTCGCAAAAGGAGGTAGGTATCTTCCTTAAACTGAAGAAATTTGTGGACTTGGTCTGGAGTCTCCACTCTACTGTTTTCTGGGTGTCTGGATAAATCACTTAGATGCCTCAGCTTCCCTTACCTCCAGCTACTAATAGAGTTGCTGAGAGAGGTTTACCTGAGAAAGCATACATTTAAATGCTTTTAAATTTGTAAAGCAACACGCAAAAATGAGATACAGTTTTTAAAACAGAATCCAGGTCACAAAAATTTGTTTTTTGCACTTTTTCTTCAATTATTCTGTT